GTAAGCATGCAAGTCATCACAGGAAACGAAAAATGGGGAAAATGCGATATTTGCAGATGGAGGAGACAATCCAGAGAAATATGGGTGAACACTAACCAGTCTATATCATATAATGGAGGTGTGTGAGAACTGGCAACAGGTATGTCAAGTATTATGATTAAGGATAGATACATGGGGGAGGAGGGGACATCGGCATCTCGACGTGGTCGGGATTGTCAGCTGGGAGGGACAAGACATAGAGGTTCAGTAGGTGATCAGCTGGTGCAAAAAGAGTGGGTACAGTGGTGGTGAGATCATCGAAGTAGATGAGATTGTGGTCACGAAAACATTTATTAACATAGCGAGTGCGAAGCTGTCAAAGGTGTAATAGAATGTGTGGAAAGTTGATACGGCAATAAAGGTTGAAAGTGGGACTAGGGAGTTTGATGCCAAAGACGAGCCAGGGGGCATGCGCTCCAAAACCTAGAGACAAGAGTAGAAGGTCAGAGAAGCAGATATGCAGGCTGTATGCCCATAGGTTAAGCATGGTCTGATAAATGTCTTGTATGTGTATAGCAGAAGAGGAGGGTTCAGGCTCCAGAAGGTACCAGTGAGAGAATGGAGGAGATGAAGACGTCAAGTAACCTTAGCAGAAAGGGCAAATAGGTATGGCTTCCAAGTAAGATGCCTCTCAAAGACAATGCCTAAATAGGTCACGGAGTCGGAAAGGAGGATCGGGACATTGTAAACCCGGACATCAAATAGAGATGGGTCATGGCAAGGGCGAAACTTATGACGAGTTGGACCAAAAAGAATAGCTCGTGTCTTAGGAACATTGAGGGATAGCCACCAGCAGTGACACCAAGACAAAAAGAATTTACAGCAGCCTGGAGTAGCTTGTTCAGAGTTGACATCGTAGAACAATGAGCTACCAAAGCTGTGTCATCAGCATACTGAAACAACTGAAGAGGAGGCTGGGGATAAGGTATATTAGCAACATAGAGAATGTACAGAAGGGGAGACAACACAGAACCTTGTGGGACTCCAGCATGTAGTGTGAAAGTGCGAGTGAGAATCCCATCAATCGATATAGCGAGACACCACCTGTGTAGAAAAGAGGAGATAAGACGAATATAGGGAATAGGAAAGTGTTACATATGCAATTTGTGGAGTAACCCTTGAGGCCAAACTGAGTCAAAAGCACACCGGAAATCAAACAGGAGCATGCAGGAGGGTCTTTGAGTGTTGAAATGATTGGAAAGTGAGTCAGACAATTTGAGAAGTTGATCCAAAGTAGAAAGGCGTGGGCGAAATCTCGCCTGTTTATGAGGCAGCAGGTTGTGACCAATTATGTATTGATGAAGATGGGCAACAAAAATGCGTTCAAAGGTTTTACTGAAAACACTATTGAGGCTGATAGGACGATAAGAATTAACATCAGAGGCAGGTTTACCCAGTTTCAGAAAAGCAGGATAGTGGATAATTTCCAGGAATCAGGAAAAAATCATGAGAAAAGAAAGGTGTAAAACAATGCAAAAAGTAGAAGGAATTGCAGAGGGGCATGACGGACTTGGCAGTATGTGATGCTATCAGGACCAGGGGCAGTGTTACGTCTGTTTTCAGCACCCGCCGGACATCAGCTGCAGTAATGTGAGCATGTAAGAAATCTTTGACAACAACATAAGAAGAACTAGGATTAAGGTCCACGAGGGAGGCAACACTTGAGTTAACAATGGTTGTAGTGTGACTGTAATCAAGAATATGACGTTCCGGTACTTGAAAGTTCTGTTCATGAAAATCAGCAAAGAGATTGGCCTTGTCCAAAGATGTAGAAGGTGCAGCACCATCAACATGTTTGGAATAGGAGGGAGAGCATCGTTGACCTGTGAGGAGCTTAAAACAGTTCCAGAATTGTGAGGAAGAGGAATGACCGAGTTTGTTACAGGCCTGATGCCACCGCTGACGTCGGACTGCCTGAGAAAATTATGGGCACTACGTTGAAGACTCCAGGATCGTTGCAGCAACAAGGGATCATGAAATCGACGGTATTCACGCAATAAAGTGGAAGAGTGATGTAACAAATCGACAGCTCTAAAGGTAAGGCTGGTTTATGGGGAGCTGAAGAAGAAGTTGGTATGTGTAAAGCACTGGCATCAGAGAGAAGAGTAGTGAGTAATGTGGCAAAGGAGTCAACATTGGCTGTTGTAGTAAGAGGCCAATCCATATCTGGTATGGCACTAGTAATGTGTGAAGTATAAGATTTCCAGTCGGTAGAACGAAAATTTTGATGAGTCCGACGGAAAGCACAAGGAACAGACACTGACTGCAAATGGACCCAAAGTTATATGGGGAGATGATTACTACCAACAGGTGGACACATCTGGAGAGTGATAAAAGGAACCAGGTTGGGAGAAACAAAGACAATATCAGGTGACGAATGAGAAAATGGACGACTAGTGGCAGGCAGTGGTAGCAAAGAACCAGAAAGGGAACATAAGAAGAACTGAAAACGTACAAGTTCGGCAGAGATCCTACTGTGGTAGCTGACATCAGCAAGAAGAGCATAGCTGTGAAAAGAGTGGTCCAGAAAGAAGAGAAAGGCATTGGGCAAGGGAACTCCAGGACGAATGTAGATAGTTGCAATAGTGATGATACATGATGGGAAATAAACAGTGGCTACCAAATGCTCAGGGTAAGCCGACTGTGGAAGGGAATGTAGGCGCACGGGAAGGCGAGTATATTTCCTCCATTCTATGTAACTAGTTATCTAAACAATCATTTTAATTCGAACTGTTTAAGTGTTTTACACTCACAAAAAAGAAACCTATCATTCAATGGGTATTTGAAGAACTTGTAGCATTCCGCCGCAATTTAAATCTTCGTATTGTTAGCTGACACTGGGCAGCTTGTACATAATTGAATAAATACAGTTGTTTAAACATTTGTTTAACAACAAGTAAAAGCTTGGAATGATCTATTCTTTCATTGGGGTGTGTGTGTGTGTGTGTGTGTCTGTGAGCCAGACTTAGTTTTGGAGAATTCCACTCCTCATCAGTGACCCTGGACACTAACACCAATGAAATATCAGACCAAATGGCAAATGCTACAAGTTATT